GCCCATACTGCACCGCCGCGTCAGCTGATGGCGGCGGGCGACCGTCCGGGGAGGGGTCACCGGGCCTTGCCATTGTGGGCGATGACGTCCGCCTGCCAATACCGGCCGGCGGGCGGCACCGGGCAGCCGTCATGGAGGCCGGCATCGACCGGTCTCTGGGGTGCGGCGGATGGCGACACCAGGGATCAGGCAAGGGGTGCGGAAAAAGCGTCGCGCCGCGCGCCTGTTTTGCGCCGGTTATAATGAGCTGAAATGGGATCCGGCGCGCGGGCGCCGGCTGCGAGCGGCCACCGGGTCCAGGTGCCTGCAGGCAATGCGATCGGTCGATGGCTGGGGTACAAACACGTCGTCTGGGAAATAGACCACGGGCTCAGTTCCGTTTTGCAATCACCGATGGTTTCGCAGTGTGAGGAGGAGACGTGGGGTTCGGGTCGAATCGGAAGCCTGGAAGACAAACACGTGGATGATGGCTAGGTAGTTGGCGAAAAACACGTCATTTCTGCCAGGTGCCGCGTGCGATAGCGTGTCTAACGTCTCCGGTGCGTCTGGCGCCGGAGACGTCGTCGTCGTCGGCACCGGATGTCCTGCTTCCGCCGCGATATCGAGCAAAGGGGGCCCGCTTAGAAGACCGTAATGATGAACGAAATGGCCTCGGCAACCGACCCGCTCGTAAAACATCAATCCTAAAGTTATGTCATCAAGGGAAACTCTGTCGTATGGCCGTTAAGGACCCACGAACCGTTGGTGGCTGACCCCCAAACCCTACTGCCACTTTGGTCCGAATCGGGTTTTGTGTGCGCTGCGTTGGGAGCAACACTTCCAAAGGGGGAGTACTACATACCCAACGGGATAGATGCATACCTTCCGAGGGAAAGGGGGTGGCCAGACGAATACACCGCTATGCGATAGCTCATGTAATGCCAACAAGATATTCTAAGGTCGTTTTGTGTTCAGGGCCATATTCAACTAAGGTCAAGTTACATGTTTTCTCATCGACCAGGTTTTTCTCAATAACGCATTGTCAGTTTTTTCTGCGTGAGGTTGTATGCCTTTTACGCTACAAGGATTGCACTTTATACATAATTCACACTGACCTTTGAAGCAGTGTTGTTTTCCTTGAACGACAACTAGCTTGTAGCAGCCGTCGGTGGTGTTTGAAGCAGTGTTGTTTTCCTTGAACGACAACTAGCTCGTAGCAGCCGTCGGTGGTGCCAGAACCAATTTCAACAAATGCTCAATTTCATTTCGAACCTAACTGAGCAGTTTTGAAGCATGTTTGAGTCATGAAGCATGAAGAGTGTTTGAAGCAGTGTCGTTTTCCTTGAACGACAACTAGCTTGTAGCAGCCGTCGGTGGTGCCAGAACCAATTTCAACAAATGCTCAATTGCATTTCGAACCTAACTGAGTGACCGTGTTGATCTTCCTGACGTTACTGTGCCGTGTTTCGTTACGATTGTTGTGCTGATCGAATGAGTGTGTTAGGACTAAACGTCGACGAAAAGGGGCATGCAGAAACATCAGTTTTCAAGACCACGCGGGCGTCCGCGAGATCGCTATCATTGCATAATAGATTAAGTTAATTGTTACCACCTGGAGCTTCGTAACGGAATTAAAGTGAGAAGGCCAGATGAGACCGACGAATACCGCCAATGGTGCACAGTGTTTTCGAATGCGGGGCTGTAGATTCAGCTAGTTAGAACCATTTGCTGCTTTCGATGTCCTTTGTCACTCGTAGGTGAACAAGCGACGCTGCTGGAAACGAAAGAAATAAAGGATATCTATGATGACCTAAAGATGTCGTATGAAGTAGAGGGTAGTGACGTCGCTTGATGAGCAACCAGGAAGACCACAGGAAGACCTCAGGAAGACCTAGGGAAGACCTCAGAAGATCACGTTACATCGCAGCGCCGGGAAATCCTTATGTTCGTCCACGTGCTGGTCCGATATGCTCATGCTCAAAATACTCTAGCTAATTGATCCGATGTGACCCGGACTTGAAGATTTCAGGGCAAACGTTAACTGATTAAGCAAAAATCCCAACATTCAAAATGCTAGCGTTAGAAACATTTTTCCAGCCATCCCCGGAAACTCATTGGGGAATACCGTACTTCCATCGGTACGAGGGATGACATATTATATATATATATATATATATATATATATATATATACATATATATAATATATATACAATCCTATATATATATATCTATATATATATATATATATATATATATATATAGGATTGTTGTGCTGACAGATTCTTTGGACGTCTCGGAAGCCTGATTATTTGCAACTTGAAAGCTCAATATATCTTCTTAGAATGCAAGCGCAACTCTCCTCGGTGTTGCTGGGCGCTCAAGCCGTATACTTCCTCGGTCACTCAGCGCTCAACCCATCAAATGCCGGGGGTTGTCCCAGCTGGGTTGTTGACCGTAGTGCCACACCCTGGGCGCGGGGCTTTAGTGACCCCAGTGACTGGTCAGCAGGAGAATGCAGTAGGGCGTGGCGACCTGTTTCGTGGCAGCAACCATTGTTTGCATTCGGATAAGCTGGCAATTACGTTGGAGTTTTCGGTTCGCGCAAGGGTTAAATATAAGTACAAATACAGACTGCAGCTGCCTGGAAGTCAGGTGGATTTGCAGTCATGAAACCAAACACAGCACTGTGCCAAATATTTAGTTCTTTATTTATTTTGAACATTTTTTTTTGGAACGTGTCACGGTGACACCCCTGCCTGTCTAGCGGTGCTTAAGTGACGCCTTGTTTTCAGCCGAGGCGTCGTGTGGCCGTGTCACTGAAGCACCCTCTGCCTGTCTAGCGGTGCTGAAGTGACGCCCTGTTTCAGCCGAGGCGTCGTGTGGTCTTGTCACTGTGGCACCCCTTGCCTGTCTAGCGGTGCTGAAGTGACGCCCCGTTTCAGCCGAGGCGTCGTGTGGTCTTGTCACTGTGGCACCCCTTGCCTGTCTAGCGGTGCTGAAGTGACGCCCCGTTTCAGCCGAGGCGTCGTGTGGTCTTGTGACTGTGGCACCCCTTGCCTGTCTAGCGGTGCTGAAGTGACGCCCCGTTTCAGCCGAGGCGCTGCACCTCGCTCACCTCATGGCTGCGCACGGCTACCTCTTCCCCATCGACGACCACACGCTGACCGTCCGGAGCGACGGCACATTCTACTACCGCTTCCAGGTGGGGCACGAGTCCCGTGCGCTGGTCTGTGTTTTACCGCGAAGGTGACCGGTGTGGGTTCTACCGCAGGGTATCGGCTTGAATCCGTGGGCTCTCAAACGGAGATTTGTCACCAGGAGGCTGCACAGGAGGCAGGAAGTTCCGCATGAAGGGCATGCTTGGGCTAATTTGTTTTTTCGGATGAACTATTTGAGTGAGAATTGTGCACTGGGAGCAATACAACCAAGCCCGTTAGTGCCGCCCCCGCCATAGCTTACCTCCTTCTTCGAACTGGTCAAGTCTTGGTCCTTTGCCTTCGCTCAAGGCACATGAAATCTCTAGCTTACTGACGTAAACGGGATATCGAAAAGACGTAGATTATCCGGCGTCGTCTAAATATTCTCCTACAACCATATTCCTCGCCACGATGTTTCTGCTCAAGCGACACATTTGTGGAAGGCATCTGGTCAGCGCCACATGAGCTGCCTTGCCATTTGGTCCTGGGCGGCAGAGATCCTGCACGGCACATAATGTGCATGACCCATAGGCTGGTGACGTAACTCAATTTCGTAAGCCATGTTGACCGTTTTACGCGCAACATTGACTCTCTTTGATACTTTCTTGTCGCGATGGTGGGCGGCAATCCTTACTGGACGGCGGGCGACTGTGCTCCTCGGCAAGGTCTCTGAGCACCATTCGACATGAAGGTACTCGGTTTCCATTCACTTCATTGCCGCCTCTTAGGTGCTATCATTTGTTATTGTTTCTGTATTTGGGAACGTTCGCCGGTATCGCATACATGAGACGAGAGACATCGGCCATCGGTTCCAAATTCCCTCTTCCGGCAGGCCGCATCATAAGCTGAAAGTTTGTTTGCACACCACCCACTGACGCCCACAACTCACCAGCAGAGCACGGTCCCCGCGCGCACTCTTCTGGCCGTCGGACGAGCGGAGACATCTCCTTATTAGGAGTGGCCAGCAACAGCGCAGTCACGTGACGTGGCGTGCTGGCGCCGGCGGGGGTATTTGCCGCGCGGCCTAACGTGAGCCGAATGGCGTGGAAATGCACAATATCGCGTGGCTGGTGGCCATCAGGCCGGCGGGGGCGAGCGCTGCCAAACGAGCGTTGGCCGGCGCGGCGCTGCTGTCCCAGGCATGGGCCGTCGGCCGTCAGCGCCAGGACAGCCGCCAGCAGGCGCCGACCGGCCGGCTCGAGTGCAGGCTTCAGCGCTGGCGGCGGGTGGCCTGGAGCGGAGAGCTCGTGATGGATGTGCTGACACAGATGCAGGGTCATGACCTGACATGGATATTCAGGATCTGTCCCGAATATCCGGGCTAGATCCTGAATACTCCTGACCCGCCCTGAATGTACCAGCCTGGAATATCCACGGGTATTCCGGGGCTGATATTGAAGATAAATGTCGTGGACGGATATCCGGATAGACGCCATGGAGTGGATATCACGTGACAAAGCGCTCGGTCCGAACTGGGCCGAGAAATGGGAAACTGGGAAACTGTCGGGCCCACCTCAGGGAGGTGGGCCCGACATGCAGCATGTCGACTAGTTGTGGATGTCATCGGAGCAGGGACACAACGTTTGCACATGGATAATGGAATGGGCCTGTGAAATTCTGAGACAGACACGTCCGCCGTAATTGTCCACTGCCTTTTACCGCTTGAACAGGTGGTCAATGACAGGAGCTGGGCAGGGTCGTAACGTTTGAAGTCCCTCCCCCCCCTAGATTTGGGAAAGTGACACGGTGCTACTGTACTCATCCTTGGACAATGCTCCATGAAACAGCTCCTTACCAGGAGTCTTTTGGCACCGCGGAAAACCGCAGCAGACGAGGGCGCGCTCTAATGTGCCATATATGCCATACTCGACCAGTACCAGGTATGGTACCGCCGAATTTTTACGGACATGTGTTGCTTTATGGGCATTTAATGAGAGTATGCACATGAAGGTATGGTGCATTTTCTCGCATATGAGGGAAGCCAAAAAAGCGAGAAAATGATTTTTGTGGCACTACTACTTTGAAGACGCTTCGTCCGCATAAGAGATGTGTGGTTATATCTCGTGTTATTGTGAGCGATGTCGCCTCATTCGACATAGTTCATCAGGTGTCTTCTAACCACATTTTTTCCATTTCAGACACCATATTTCTGGCCGTCCAAGTCCTGGGAGCCAGAAAACACGGATTACGGTACGTCCACATTTGTCCGCGCCATGATGCCATGTTATCGGACCTCGTCGTCCATCACCTATATTGGCGTACCTATAACACCGATAGAACGCGTCTGCGCCTAACCCTTACAGTTTGATTGAATTCGCAAAGCACAAAACGTACTGGAAATGTATTCCTGCGACCAATTCATGAGTTTCTATGCTTACATCACCATACATCCATGAATTAGTTGGATACATTAATGATCATTAGCAAGCGCCACCTCTGCTTCCATCATCATTATGGCTCATACGGCAGCCAGCCGACCGCACTGGAGATGGGACGATCCTCTCCAGTTCCTCGAGTTCGGGCGTCCACTGGAGATGGGACGATCCTCTCCAGTCCCTCGAGCTCGGGCGTCCACTGGAGATGGGACGATCCTCTCCAGTATCTCGAGTTCGGACGTCCACTGGAGCTGGGACGATCCTCTCCAGTTCTTCGAGTTCGGGCGTCCACTGGAGCTGGGACGATCCTCTCCAGTCCCTCGAGTTCGGGCGTCCAGGCCAGCGTTCGGCCAGCGACTGACTGTCTCGATGAACAGCACGTTCGCACTGCAGCTGTTAGCGCAGCTGATAGGAATGGGCCGCACTCTGGAGCCGTTATACTCGCACCAGTCTTCCAAACGCGGCGTTTACGCTGGAACGCATGGTGGCCCGAGCATGTCGCGCCGGAATGGCTGGTCACGCAGCGCAGGTTGTACTTCTGTACTATGCTGGGTTGTTGCCCAGTACATGTCGTATTGGATGACTTGAAGTCGCCAAGCACGGCTAGGTATGGTGGGAAGTCCAGCCTACCGTCTGAGAAGTCCAGAGTGATACTGTGGCTGTCTTTGTGTCGTGCTTGCTGAGATGTGACCCGGAAACGGTGTCCCACAAGGATGCGTGGGAACTGTTGAATCAGGAAATTCTTGGAATACTTCTGACGCTTCTGACACATGGAGCACGTTATTTTCGTCTCCGTATAGCACATCTTACTTTCTGGAAGAGTCGAGGCATGTCTACTGTCGCGCCAGGCTCGTGACGGACGCGATCGGCAGGCTCAGGTCCCCGAACAGGTGGGACGCCATAAACGCGTGGACGCACGCTGTGCACCGCAGTGCTCACTTGAGATCTCCGACGAGGCCGACGAAGACCAGCGCAGGCCGGGCCTGGGCTGGCGGCCGGGTCGGCGGTCACACAGCCGAACATGGGCTGCTCGGGCGGGTCAAGCTGCCCCCGTTTCTTCTGTGCGGCCCCCGCCCGCTCCGTTGATTGCTTTCCTTTCCACTCCTGTCAGATGCTTCTCAGCTGCTCGGTGGACCTGTTGACCTGACCTGACCTAGCTGCTCAGCCTGCGGCCCCCGCAGGCGGCGCTATCAGTGGTCTGGCGTCTCTGGGCTGTCATACAGAACTGGGAGGAGGCGACAGGCCGTCACAGAGTATGAAGAAGTCTCGCGTTCAGGCGGCGACGAGTCGGACATCAAGCGAGATAATGATCTTATTGGCTGCCTGCTGAGGAAGTGCTCGGCTCGCCGCGGTCTGTCTGTCTTCGGCGCAGGCCGGGGATACAGGCTGTCAGGCATGACCTGGGGTCTAGCTCTGGCGAGCACGGAGGCAGTGTTACCACGGATGACAAGTTAAGGAAGATGGCTCACGCACAAAACAGGAAGAAAGGCATTGAAAGTAGCGTCAGGATTCTTTACAATATTTTTGCTCAGGGGGGGGGGGGGCAAGTCTTGTGTCCGGCTGGGGAGGGGGCTAGAGGAAACATTAGCCAGTTTAGGGTAGGCCAGTCGACGGGGGGGGGGGGGACCGGGGCCAATGAAATGACGTCTGGGTTTATTGCGGGCGGGATGTCACCAGATGTACGTGAAGGATAGCTCAGATCACACGGACACTTGTCCCTCTTCTTACGAACAGATACAAGGCACTACAGCTCGTGAGCAGTACTTGTCTAGGGAAGAAAATGTTTATTTACTTATTTGGTGGAGAAGCAGTTTCCAACACCTATGGGCCATGACTTGAGCTTGTGGAGCCATTCCTTGGAAGAGGAACAACAGTTTGCGTACCCTTCATACACATTTTGTGGGAGCCCTCCCGCAATGAGCCCAGGCTCAACTTGCATTGGTGTCGATTATCCATCGCACTTCAGCTGCCACGTCTACGCAGGCAAACGCGTCCTCTAACTCCCTCCTCTCATCCGGGGACACGACTGGCTCCACGGGCAGTGACTGCCGCCTGTCAGTCCCGGGCAACTGCCTCTGGACGTTCGTACCTGTTACTGAACGTGGCAGATGCTCATACACTGCACGAATCAAAGCAGTCTCCGTGGAAAGACGTGATGTCACACAACTAGGCTTGGGCATTTTTAAGCAGAGTCTAGGAAAACCTGATAATCGCAAACAATGCTTTTTGTCTAGAACTTTTGTCACGAAGGCTGATTGGCGTGAAATGCTTTAGAACTTTTAAAGCTGTTTCAGAAAAGTTGGTTTGAATATCAATTCTCTTCGGGCGGAAGGTATCATCATAAGCCTGGTTGGTGAGAGGATTGGTAGACCCTGTGGCCATTTCATCTCAATTTGAGCTCAAAGGTAACGGAACGATAACCGCTACGTGAAGTTGTTTACATGAAGTCCAATGTCGCTGTTTTATTTCCATTTATTTTGCCAAGTCGGCCCCGATGCTAGAGAAAACAATTTCCAGAGATGGAGTCTTGGCATGACATCAAGCGACATTTGCGTGGACGAATAGGTATGACACCGCATTTCAAATACAACGAAATATTCAACCAAAAAAATATGAAAGAAAATCTAGGATCAAAATAAGACCAAACTATGCCATTATAAGTCATGAATCTCGTTGAAAGTTGTTGACCTATTGAAGGTAGCCTGTGCGTCAGATGGCTGTCGCGGTATGCTTAGTGATATCCGTTCTTTCGCTTACGGCAAAAAATCTAATGACCCCGACAATCGCTCAAACTTTACCAAAGTGGCAGAGGCACGTAACAAAACCGAACGTCCCAAAATGGCACGTACCAACAGCATGTTACAACGATAACGATGTGTCCATTGGATCCAAGAGCCATCTGCAGCGCAATTAAAATGGATCATTAAAGTGGTATTTACATATGGGCTAAAATTTTAATATTTTGAGCTTGGTTGTTTCAGTCTGACGCAATATTCCAGTTATAAGTGCCTGTCTTCATTTTCTCCGGAACCGAATCCTTGTCAAAATTTGGTGTCATCTCGGAATTGCTTGGGTAATTTCGTTTATGCATCAAAAGGACGTGATGCCGACCAAGCAGACGAGATCCCTTAGTTTGGCATCGCCCCTCTCTCCTCTCCATGGAGGGCTGGCTCAAAGTTAAACCGGAAGCTGTCGGCTTCAGGAGCTGGCGAGTCTGTCGAGTCAAATGGGGCCGAGACGGGGTTTGATTAACATTGCTCAGTGTCATGATCACCTCTTGAGAAGCAGCCATGTTGGCATTATTTCTTGCGAAGCAGATGTCACTGCACCTCAGATGGCCGTAATTTCTCCCACTGCGCCGGCCATGCGTGGGATGCTGAGACATGGCTGCCATTAAACATTGGATCCTTATGCTTACACGTTAAGCACAATACGCTCAAGCTGTGGCGTTCTCGACTATTCAGGCCAGCAAGGGAAGACTAGCCCCTTCTGCAAGGCTGCGAGACATGTGAGAAGCCGATACAAACTGGGCCCGCTCGAGGGGAACGTTTCACATTTAAAATACTGAAGCAAACATGAGCTATTGTGAAAAAGCCAACCTTCAACTGTTCGTGTACCGTCAAGTGGAAAGGACGGTGGTAGACAACACAATATCTCAATTTAGTGAAGATGCTTCGTAATATGTCATCGTTTGATTGCGTCACACCACCCTGCACAACGTTGGTTAAGAACCCGTTGGTGGCCGCCATATGTGGAAATCGTGCTTACGAACGCCAGATACGAACGACTCGACAATTACATTATTCTTGACCTTGATTGTCGCATGGCCTATGGAATTGCAGGACTTGAGTAACCCTAATATGTTGCCATGGATGCCTGGATGACCCTGAAGTAGTCGCCCAGGCACAGACTCATGCGGCAACCTGAGCTCCAGCGAAGTGCAGCTGTCCGTGACCTTTGTGGCACGGGTTCAACCCACAGCACCGATACCCCCGCACCTGGAATTATAGGTAGCCGTTACTGCTTTTGCGCATGTGCTTCCACCGAAGATCCGAATAAGGACCGTAACATACACAGGATAGACACTAAAAATAGATGATGTATAAACACGACAAAAATATGGCCGGAAATGTCGTCTTCGGCTGTCACATAACCTTTTTCCGAAGTTGTGCAAGAATCTCTGCCCATGAAATGAAGCTTTTGGAAGCCTGGTCGCCTGCTCAGTGCAGCAAGCAACAAGACCGAAGACCGTCAGGTGTGAAAATAAACCAACCTCTTTGGCATGAAACAATAACATGACATTGTGAATGCAGTTTTGCCAACGAGTTTGTAATTGATGGGTGGGTAACTGCATACGATCTTGGTCCATGCCGTATATTCCGCTAACCTGTAAAGCCAGTGAATCTCTGCTTGCTGACTGAGGAAATGGAGGAGGCCCCTGCCCGCCGGCCGCGCTGGAGCAGGAGGAGGAGGCAGCCTCCCGGCTAGCACGGGTCGCCAACTGGGTCCATTGGCGGTGGAGCGGAAGGTGGAGGAGGCAGGCCCGTCGGCAAGCACAGGGCGGCAACTGGATTTATTGGTGGTTGAGGAGAGGGAGGAGGCAGCCCCGCCGGCTAGCACGGGGCGCCAACTGGGTCCATTGGCGGTGGAGCAGAAGGCACAGAGCGGCGGCTGGATTCAATGGCGGTGGAAGAGAAGGAGGAGGCAGCCCCGTCGGCTAGCGCAGGGCGGCAGCTGGGTCCATTGGCGGTGGAGCAGAAGGTGGAGGAGGCAACCCCGCCGGCTAGGACGGGCGGCAGCTGGGCTCAGTTTACCAATAGCCGGCGCCATTCAATTAGCTCGGCACAGATGGGCCGATTTGCCGCGTTAGGCGTCTGTTGAGAGTTGTATTGGTCGGCGGGCGCGGCCGTCGGAGCCGGCAGATCGATTGTCGGACCCGGCGGCCGCAGTCCCGTCGCCGGTGCCGCCGCGCCGATGTGTGCCGGCCGCGGCACGGGCACTGGGAACTGGCGCCGACACGCCGTCAATAGGCGCGGACGCGCCGCGGGCAGACACGGCCGCATTATGAACAGAGGCGTGCATATCAGATGCAGGAGCGGCCACATCGTGAACAGGTGCAAGCACGTCGTGAACAGGTTTGGCACCCTGTGAGCAGGCACGGACGTTTGTGAATGGGTACAACCACACTCCCGCCATCTCTGGTTCCTCTGCCTTTCGGCGTACGTCACACTTTCACAATACATGTAGCGACAGTACGTACCCAGCCCTTATCCTAACCCACGCTGGTCTCGCGATTAGTGGATCTGTTTGAACAAAGTCACGATTGCTGACACTGCTTCATTCATCGAACTTTGCGCCGCATTTCGTTTCTCCAGTACGTCGATTGCGACGCAAACACAGCAGCCGTCCGAGCTAGCCTGGCCAATAAAGCAGCCGACACAAACACGGCAGCCGTCCGAGCTAGCCTGGCCACTGAAGCAGCTGACACAAACACAGCAACCGTCCGAGCTAGCCTGGCCACTGAAGCATCTGACACAAACACAACAGCCGTCCGAGCTAGCCTGGCCACTGAAGCAGCTGACAGGACATCAAAGCGGCCGGGCCAAAACGGCGAGAAACTGAGCAAAACAGACTTTGATAACACTTTTTCTTAATCTCTGTTGTAACGTGATGTAGCCATGCATCGGGCGATAGCTCGGATCTGTAGTTCTTGACATAATTGAGACATAAGTAACAGACATAATTGGCTGTCTTCTGACGCAAGTGCGCCCTGCTCCACGGCACGTTTAGATACGGCCGAGGCTATACAAGCCGACAATTTGTGCGTGCTCTCTTTCTTCGGAAGTTTACCAGTCCTGCATAGCTCGACGTCGTTGGCATTTGGGCTTTACGAGGCACTCAGCTGCTGAGGCTGTAACGCGTCACCTGCCTCGTACCCTGGTAGGAGGGTCGGGCACAGCAGGGAATCGAACCCCGTTTCTCTAGTCTCCCAGGCACGCAGCTTAACCAATACATTGCCGGAAGCTCGTCCTATTCAGCTAATCTTTTTGAAAAATGATGAGCAAGAAAACGTGTGCATGGCCTAAATGGAAGGGCTGCGCTTGATGTTGAGATCCGTCGTTTTACCAAACTATGGATGCTCTCCAAAGTAAGTTGTCCTTGGCGTGTGCATCATTACTTCTCGTTAATTTTGGAATCGGTTCTACTGCTTTGCATCAGTTTAAGCGTGATTTTAAAGGACTTCGTGTCGCTCTAAGTGATGGAAGCAACTGGTTCTGCGAAGTGAGGGCCCAACCAAATTTCTGGTTTCAACGCGTGGGTCCAATTGTCAGCATTTCGAAAATTCCATTCAGAAGATATTTGGAGCTACCCTTGGCTTATGATGAGGTTGGAGTGTATTTATGCAATCATAAAGGAATATGAAATAACGGTATGACCTATCATTACGATTGTTTCTTTCAATGACAGCAATAACAGCATGATTTGAGCGAAGAGTTTCGTGAGCAGCGAAGGTGTTCGAGATAAAGCTCCATACGCTGCATTTTGACCTCAGCGAGTCACGTGCTTTATGACGTTTTGCAAGAATCACACCGCTATATTTTGTTCGGGAACGTAACATTCGCCAGGGCCATTCCGGGACGAATGTGACAGACACATGTGTCTACAGACTGGATACTGACACAGTATCCAGTCCACGGCGTCCATTGCGTCCGAGGTACCCAAATGCATAGGGACATGTGGTCGAGTCATTTTTACTTTGTTAGTCACTGACACGCCCAGATATTGTGACTCTATATTCATACAAGTGCGATGGATAGAAACCTCGAATTATTTCCGCCATATTTTACGTTGTAAGAGCGCACCCTTAAGCGCTCCAAACTTCAGAATGAACAGAACTCACTATAAGGATCAAGTACCTTTATGTTTTGAGGGAATCTGGTCTTTACCCCCTCCCCCCGCACACGCACACGCACAAACTGAAGCCCCACTCATGCGTGAAGCATCACGCACGCGCGCACGCCCTTGACGTGCAGATGTCCCTGTCCGTGCACAGCCGTGTACCTCTGCAAGCGCACCATGCAAAACAAGACACGCCTGGAGCTGGCCGACTACGAGGCCGAGAACCTGGCCCGACTGCAGAAGATATTCTCCAGGAAGTGGGAGTTCATCTTCATGCAGGTGAGTTTCACGCTGGGGCGCCGGGCGCGCTCGGCCGGCGGCGGCGAGACGCTCTCGCTTGGTAGACGTTGGTTGGTGGTTGCCGGCCGTTGGTTGCCGTTGTCGGTTGCAGATAGCGCACGGTGGCACTGCACCCCGGGACAAAACGTGACCGGCCGAGCTGCACCGCTTCAGGGCATAAATTGGTTGGGTCAAGGCGGCAGGTTTTTGTCTGGCGGACATCGAGACAACACGGATGTCGAAGGGACGCCGCCCGGGACAGAGATTCGAGCTTAATGAGGCACGTCGCGCACCAGTTGTGGAACAAAGGCGTCGATCATCTAACGCAGGGTGAAGTTGAAATCCCCTCATATGATTTGTTGATTTGTCCCACATGTGCAAGGTAGGGGCTCATGATAACTTCACCACACCGTTAGTTATTAGACTTCGTCCGTCGTTCTTTCTTCTTTATTGAAATTATAGAAATTATCACAGCTAGTTAAAGTGTAACGATTTCGGCAGAAACGATACGAAATGCAGCAGAATAGTAATAAAACAGTGCAAGATTTTATATAATATATCGTGATTGGGTGCAAGATACTTGTATAATACATAGCAACATAATAATAAGGCACATCACTAATGAATAGGACGGGGCCATCAGAGGAGCGTCTACCGGTATCAGGCATTCCCACCGTCCAGACGCTCGCGCGCACGGCGTCTCGAGCACATTCCTCCTGCCCATCCGTGGACAGTGCGTGTGCAGTGCAGGCCAACTGAGTGGTATTCGGACCATGAGGCAGCTTACACCATAAGCCGCCCGGCCCGGCCCGGCTCGGCCGTCACGAGCTCTCATCACGGCCACCGGTGGCGGCCGCCTGCAATCTGCAACAGCACGAAGAGCAGTTCGTGGAATGTCAGCACGAATGAGCAGTTCGTGTTGTGTCAGTTTTAACGTGTTCGCTTGTAACGTGCAAGCTGTTTGAATGGGTTTAATGACCCGCAGCACTGCGATGTGGAGAGTGTGACCCTTCCCCGTTCGATTCACTTAGGAAATGAGAAACCTGCCAAATGCGGAAAAGTTGCACCACGCAGGTTGAAACCAGGCCCAGATTTCAAAAACCCGCCTTAACGTCACGAGACCAAAACAACTAGGCGAAGAAGAGAACATATATTTGCATCAGAAAAAGCGCGGATCAATGCAGTATAGACGAAATATGCTGTAGTCGGCACGAGTACCAGAGCCGACACATTGTTTGCCCCGACTGAGACGGGGAGGTCAACTGACAAGTGGACGAAGAAAATCGTCCTGGCTCAAGGCGGGCTTGTGTGCACTGTTCGACAGGTAAAACACCCCGCGACCATGCCTGGCAAAAAGGCGTGAGGCGATAGTTTTATTATGAGTCAAAATGATAAAATGGTCAAATGGATAAAATCCGTCGTGAAGGAGATCCGGGCTTGTAGATATGCCCTGTGTCGTAAGACTATGTCCGCTGTCATCTACTACCGGGCGGTTGTTTTCGCTTGTTCACCGTGCGAGGCGGCTTACAAAGCTTACAGATACCATCATGCCAGCTCGCCGTCCCTCAGGTCAAGTCAACGCTAATGCTTGGGGCCAACAGCATGCACACAAATGACGGCTTTCCGGGGCCGAGAGGGCTTATCCTTCGAGCAAATAGGGACCACACCGTTTTATTAATGTGTTTTAGTGTAAATTAGTGCAGAGAGGGGCCTACAATCGTCACAAATCCAGAGCGAAAAGGATGACGTAACGTCAATAGCCATGCTGCATCTTCAAAATGTCATCGACCTAGCCGAAGTGATGCATGCTTTCGAGGACTGTGATGCAATGTCGATGTCAAGCTCATATTCCGTTTATTACCATCGTGAGCAAAAAGCGATCTTTGCCGTAAACCGCTTGATATTCCGTTGTCTTCGTAGGTTGTCGCAAGAAAATGGCAGCAAAGCGCCTACAGTATTGTTATCCTTAGCTTATCACGAATTCGTGTGTAATGCAACCACACGTGTCTACCCTCCACGCGTTTCGATCCATGGCAAGTGGCTAATGCAAATTATTCAGGCATTTGCTAATGGGCTCATTTAGCTTCCAGCTTCACTGAGTGTTGACCCATATCTGCCCTTCGACACAAATCAGGCCATTTGTCTGTGGCCATGCAACAATGCCACGCAGCGGAGTAAATTAGTGTCCGGTCAAAGAATCGACTCGCGGTCTGCCGAATGCCTTTTTGTCGTTTGCTAGATGGCGACTGTGATACTGACGACATGTAAAATTTCGGCGTGACAAAAACTGCAATCGATAACATGGCGGACTTAAATGGCGACATGCCGAAATGGCAAGCTGCTAAATTGCGAGCTGCAAAGTTGCGGCATGTAAAAATACGCCAGCTTGGCAAAAGATTAAGCGTCGTTGGAGTGCTTAATAGTCACGTTTGAACAAATGGTGACGCAAAATGGCGACGTGTCAAAATAGCGAAAAGCCAAATGACGGCACGAAAAACAAGCTTAAGCAGTAAAGGCAAAATTACGGGTTTTCCAAGACTCCATGAAATGAGCAGTTCTTATTCGATCTTTTCTGACAGCTGTGTCTAATGACAAGACTCTGGTTGCCGACTAACTGCTCCCATTCCTTTCCTTCTGCGGGAACAGAGGACAGGGCCAGACTGATGTTTCGTTCACATGTTGAGCTCGTAGACCCGCAAACACACATCATAAATCTCTCAACAGAACATTGGTGCGACGCCAGTGTCTGCGGTGCCCGGACAAAAGTCGGCTCGCAGTTTTCCCACTGCTTTTGTTGACTTCATTCGACGACTTCCATATTGGCGACAGCTAGAAAAGTCGACGAACCGAAAGTCGGATCGGCTTAATGACGGACTGCAAAACGGTTACATGACAAAAGGACAACATACCAGATTTTTGAAAGGTTCAATGACCAACTGCAAAAATGGCGACATACCATACAGCTGACAAGCCAAAAGGGTGAGCTGCGAAACGGTGACACGCAAAAAAGACAACATACCAACTTGGCGAACGGCTAATTGGTGAGGGGCTTATGGACAATGTTCCACATTTGAAGATATTGAGACAAATTTCAGATAGGATGGAAGGCCTTTCTCATGTCACCGCTCATCATCACTAACACCAAAGCCAAAGGTGGTCCTTGTATTTCGCCGTTTATGCTTTCACCAATATGGCATCGATCCTGCATTAGGTCGTTTTTTAATTCACCATTTAGCTATTCGCCAATTTGGCATGTCGCCAAGTTGCAGTTCGCCACAAAGCTTCTCGCCACTTTGGTCGAGCCAACTTTCTTGCATTTCGCCTTTTTGCAGCTCGCCATTTAGTCGTTTCGACTTTTTTGGCGCGTCGACTTTTTTACATGGTGCTATTCCACAGTCGTCATTCAGCAGTCAACAAAAGGCATTCACCGAATGGAATTTTCGACTTTTTGTCCCAGAACCAAGTAAATTAGCATTTACCAGCGTTTGAGGAGCACAAATGCATATCTTGCACTAAACGTGTATCAACTGGGGTACCAAAACGCGACTGAACTACAAGGTATTCACTGTTGTATCTCTGTGAACTGCCAGCGTTCCGATCCACCGCACACTACTCGTTTCTGCTCAAGATACTGAGGGAAGTAGACAACTGCGCAATAAGGGCCATTATCCACTTATCGAAACACATGTAAGAAGCTTTGAAGCGTCGACATTTTCATTTGATGACGAAAGAACACTTTCATGACGCGTTTATGATGCTTCCCACGGGTGCTAATGGATTAAGTGTTATGTAAATGCCGGAAGTGGGGCGATTCACCATGTCAATACGATGTCACAGGCTTGAAAACGTGTCGCGGCGGGAAGCAATGCTTAGCGATAATTGGATGTGGCTGCATGGCCTGTTGGAAACAGCAAACAATATATATATATATATATATATGTATATATATATATATATATATATATATATATATATATATATATGTATATATAGAGGTATACAAGATGTGGTCAAACGCATTTTGTTGGAAGCAGTAAAAACAAAATGTGGTCGGACTCTTAACGCGCTTGTACAAGTCTAAAGCAGGTGGCGGTATTCATCCCGCTTGTTTCACGGCCCCGGCCCGCCAGACGAACAAGTGACGTGATTTGCGGCCGGTCGATGCGCTCTTGATAACAGTGGCGACGACTTTCAGCAGTGTGATGCCGTGATAGCGTGACCCGATCGCGTCTTAGCATGGATCACACAGTGGTGTTACACGCGGACGGGCGTGCGCTCAGAAGGGAATCACGTCGCGGCGGGGACCTTGGCGCTGTGGTGCGCTGCCAGCGGGCCGTGGTCGTCGCCGCAGCCCCGCCCTAGCGTGTCCTGCTTCTCAGGCGGAGGCGCAGTCCAAGGTCGACAAGAAGAGGGACAAGCTGGAACGCAAGATCCTGGACAGCCAGGAGCGCGCTTTCTGGGACGTGCACCGGCCGGTGGTGAGTGGCGCGGGCCGGCCGGCCTCCAGGGGCCACAGCCACGCTAGGAGGTTACAGATCTTTCGTTTGGTAGCTGCGTGTGATGAAGTTCACTCATGCAAAAAGGTAAATACCCCAGTGTGGATTCAGAGGCAGTGTGCCTTTGCGATTGCGGCTCCGTAGACTGGTAACCCGAGTTCTGGCTTCAGTGTAGAGGAGGGCTTTAGATGCATGATGGGAACAGAGCTTTGAAGCAAAGCTAAGCTTGTCTTTATGCGTTCTACCGAATAATCGCAAGGAGCCTACCGTCAGGTGATGTATCGTGTCTCACTAATTGCCCCTTTGAAGAGACGTTGGCCAAGTCCTTAGGCGTCCCTGTCTCTGCAGCATGGACGGTCTCAAACTCACTGTTGTCTCTGTCAAAAATAGGCGCCATCTCCCGATGGTGCCTGCAAGTGATGACCACGGATTTTGTTATGCCCGGTCCCTGGCCAGGTACAGAGCGTTCCCGGTTCACTACGGTATATTAATGACCGTCCCTAGGTCATCGCGGAAGCCGACCTTCCCCAGTCACTGTGGGCAACTGATCGACCCCTGATGGCTACAGAAACCGGTCGTCCTCAGTTCACTACGGAAACTGACAGACCTCAGTTTACTGCGGAAGCAGACCGTCCTAGTTCCCTGTGGGGACTCACCGTCCTCAGCTCACCACGGACCACAGACTATCGGTGCATTTGTCACTGCCACCCACCGTCCCAGCCACGGCAGTCGCCGGAATTGGTCCGTCTGTCAGTGCCATGCGCCGCGCCTCGCCGCGCCTCGCTCACTGCGCTCGCGCCTCCGCCGGCAGCCCGGCTGCGTCAACACGACCGAGGTGGACATCAAGAAGGCGTGCCGGATGAACCGGCCGGTGCCGGGGCGGCCGGTGCCGGCCCAGTGCGGCCAGCTGCCGCCGGCAGCCGCCACAGCCGAGGGCGCCTCCGGCCTGCCCCCGGCCGAGCGGGCGGCGGCCCTGGCCGCCGACGCCGAGCGCATCCGCGTCAGCATCGACCGCTGCAGTCTGCGGGTCTCCAAGGTGGCCGAGACGTGAGTGGCCGCCGCCGCCGCCGCCGCCGCCGCCGGGCGTCGCCACACGTGTTGACCGGCTCGCGTCGCGTGTAGTTGCGGCGCCAGGCTGGCGCAGGGGACGGCGAAGTGCGTGCAGCCGGTTGGACGGGCTGGAAACGTCGGGTCGGGGCGGGCTCGGCCGGGCGGCCTCTGCCTGTGTTGTACCCGCCCGTGGTACTCCGCTCAGCAGGCGTCGGGGCGGCCAGCGGGCTGGCGCGAGGTAGACTGCTGACGGCTGCTGAATCGGGGCGGGCGGCGGACTGCCGGCAGCGCTGGGCATCAGGAGAGCGCGCCGACGCTGGGTGGGGCGGGGCCGACGACGTGCCAACCGTGCTGCACACCGGACGTCGGCCGGGCACGCTCTAGGCGATGCAGGCATGCAGGCGTGCTGCGCCGCCCATGACACGCGTCTAGGTGTACGGGGCCACGCGAGTGCTAATTGAAAAGTTGATGATGGACGGGTAAGTGCCAGGCTGTTTGACTCGTGCTCTAGCTGTTTGCCCGTCTAGATGGTGGTGACACGGGAGTCTCAAAGCGTGGGCGTACATGCCGGTGACAAAAGACCTCAGGTGAAGGGGAGGGGGAGGGGTAATTCAGTTGGTAAAGTTTCTCCCGTAGTTGGGCGTCGAGTTGTGCGCGCGAACCAAGCTACCAGACTAGTGTTTCACTGCACCCGCGATAATCGACGGGCCATACTCTGCAGATTACAAGGCTAATGGCAATAACTGCTGCATGGGCTATATAACAAAACACAATAGCTGCACATAGAACTATTAGCTGCACATAACACCATTAACTGCGCATAGCACACAATGGCTGCAGCTGGACGATTTATCCAGGGCGTTTTCAAGATCCGTCACCCGGTAGGGGGAGGGGGAGGGGTACATGGCGTCTAAAATCATGGGGCTTCGGAGGAACCATGGACGTGGAAGCGTTTCAGATATTTTGCGTGGGTGTGGGTGAGTAGGAGGAAGGCAAGGTCAATTTTAAAGGCGATTTCTTCCATGCATCGTCGTACGGTTAATGTCGAACATTTTCAAGAACACTACGGGCATGACACCCCCCGCCTCCCATCCCTTCGTAATTCCATGGGGTAACCCATTATCTGGAAGCCAAGCTGTGAGAGCAAGAGAATCAGCGCTACCGCCAGTGATCTAACAAGGTCCCAGGGCCTTGCATACGACGCTAGGATCTTACGCACAGAGCCAAAACATTTCGGATGCCATCTATGTCTTCTATCGATGCTGATGATACGCTGCCACATTGCGCATCTTGTGGTGTGCAAATTTAGAACCGCGCGTTCGTTATTTGTTATTCCGCCGGCCCGGTCCGGGTCCGCTCTGCCTCCTCCACAGCTCGGCCGCTCCGACGGCATCGATTCCGCACCGGATGGCGCCCGCGGTGGCGGCCGCAAGCGCTCGCTGATCCGCGCCATGTCTGCTTCAGGTTCATCAGCTTTTACGAGCAGTATCTCGAGTACGATCCCATTCTGACGGTGCAGGAGCCGTCCAACCCGTGGCTCAGCGACAGCACGGAGCTCTGGGATCTGGAGAAGTCCGGGTGAGTGTCGCGAGCCGCCCCACCAGCGGCAAACGGCGCGCGCAGCGTATTCGTCACGCGACTGTGGTGTTCCGTTCGTCTGGAAACGGCGCGGCAGGCCGCTGGATAGCTGCTCGATCCGCGGCTTGCTTGGCTTGTGACGGTCTATCGGCTCCTTCAGCCTTGCGTACAGATCCGTTGTCTGACCATAACATGCGGCGGGACAGGGCCTCCGGCACTCCGCAGTCCTGGCCACCACCGGTGATCTCGGAGCTCGCTCCACCCTCTCCCCAGACAGGACAGTGGCGGGACAAGAGCCTCCGGCACTCAACAGTTCTGGTCACGACCTGTGATATCGGAGCTCGTTCCACCCCTCCCCAGCGCTTATTAACCACAGCGCTGGTGCGCCACTATCCCTGCCACTGATATACCTGGCTGGTGCGCCACTAGCCCATGCCACTGGTATACCTGACTGGTGCGCCACTAGTCCCTGCCACTGGTATACCTGGCTGGTACGCCACTAGCCCCTGTCACTGGTATGCCTAGCTGGTACGCCACTAGCCCATGCCACTGGTATCACTGGCGGCGCGTCTGCAGAGTCTGTGACAGCGGCCACCTCTCCGCAGCAAGGAGATCGCGCCCCGCCGGGTCAAACGCTGGGCGTTCAGCCTGCACGAGCTGCTGCGCGACCCGATTGGACGCGACCAGTTCGTTAGGTTCCTCGACAAGGAGTACAGTGGCGAGAATCTCAGGTGAGCGGCAATGGCCAACGCTGACGCAGCACAGCGACTCGGGCTCACGCTATTGGCTGTTTTAGCTTAGTTGCCAATGCTTATTTGTATGTTGCGTGATGCTGGCACTGCCGTATCGTGTGCAATGCTCTCAGGGGCCTCATATGAAACCAAAACTATCGCGAAACAACAGTGCGGTGAACCAACGAAAAATGGCTAACAGAGGGGTCACTTATGAATGAGTGAGAGATACCGTGATTTCTCTCATTTTTAACGAAAAAATATTCTTTCGGAGGCTACGGTTCTTTCCATGGAAACTAACGTCGCGGGCGCGCTCTTGGTTTGTGCTGCGATGGTACATTCCAACGGGCAGTTGATGTTCACCGACTGAATCTTCGCGCGATGTTTGATTTTCTCATTGTGCCCATACTCGCTGCGCCTGCGAAAATGCCGCACAAACAGCAACCACTGTGATATCAGTAAGTCACCTATCTCGACTGCGCGGGAAATAGTTGCACCCGATACCCGAGGAAAGCTCCAAAGAGTCAGGTACGGCGACCGCTCCCTCTGCACGTGCGAGCCACCGCCAAAAGCTCGTGATCATTCAGCACGGGTCAGCACTTGACCTCGGTTCGTTCCGCCTACCCGGTGCATTCCCTGTGACACCTGCACCCAGCGCTCTTGGAAGGGCCGACTTCCGGCAACGGTAAACTGCATCCAACGCTCACGACGTGGGCGATCAGGGACAGGCGCTAGAGCCTGCTGGGCTGACTTCACGGCGAGTAGGTGGTGGCGTGTTGGTGTTTGTGCCGCTGCAGGTGCGGCCGGGGGCGTTTTGACAGGTGGGCCTGAACTGGGAGGGTGTGGCGACGAGAGCCGACCGGTATCGATCGCTCGTGTGCGTGCTCATGGCGAGTCGGCGACTCATCCGTTTGCCTGTAGGCCGGTAGGTGGGTTGACTTAAACCGGGGACAAATGTCGCACCGTGAGGAAGCTATGTCTGTGCTCGGGAGCCAGTTGGACCAGGCCATTGCTTTTTGTGGCCGATGAATGAGACGCCCGTAAATTGTCGGGCTGCCAAAGCTGTCATGGACGCTGGGCACGTGACCCCGTCGGACTCGGACTCCCGACGTCCGGAACCGTCAGTCGGGGACACGTTCTTTGCCGCCGTCTGCAGCTCTCTGCCCACGGGCTGCTTGTTGGCCGCGCCCGAGGTCGCCCATCGATTTACCTTCAGTCTGATGAGCAAGCGCCGGCTACGAAGCGGTGAGGAAGTGTCGCCTGACTGATCTGCGGCATGCGAACGTCTTTCCGTCGTTCCAGCCGCGCCGGCGGCCCCGCCCCCGCCCCCGCCGAGTTCCAGCCTCACGTGGGACGCCGTCGCACGCGCTACTGGCCGCCGTCATGCGACGTCCTCTGCGCGGCAGGTTCTTTCTGGCGCTGCAGGAGCTGAAGACGCTGCCACAGCGTGCCGTGGCGGCGCGCGTGCAGGAGATCTGGAGCGAGTTCCTCGCGCCGGACGCCAGCGTGCCCGTGAACATCGACTCCAGGTCGCTGGACGTCACCAAACGCAACATGGAGCAGCCCGACCGCTGGACATTTGATGCGGCTGGGGTCAGTGACGGCCGACGGCGGCGCACCGAGGCGGGCCGCCGCGTCGCGTCCTCAGGCCGCGGAGTGGACGGGGCCGCTCGGACGCTAGGAGTGGTGGAGTGTTTAGATGCGTCCTGAACAGAAGACCCCGCAAGTGTGTGCTGGACCTGCCGACTTTGGTCTGGTCGCTTTGCTGGCCAAAAATGACGCATTTGGCGTCTCGTGGCTCGCATTGCTGGTTTGAGCTATCGAGCCTGACCTCAAGCATGAACGAGTTGGCTATATGTGTACATTAGCTGTAAAGATTTGCCGTGAAAATGAAGTGATTCAGTTTTCGCTCCTATACAGTTCAAACCCCCGACTCTGTAATTTCTGCACAACGTCCCATGGCTCCTGGTAGGCATCTGACAAAATTGCGTTTATTGGTAATTTTCTATTGCTAATAATATATTGCTTCTCAACCAGATCGGTTAGCAATTTTGCAAAAAAGGCCTGTGCGTCTGATAGAAAATGTGTACCCTCCGTAAAGCTCCTAGCCAATCTTTAAACAATACAAAATTTTGAAATTGTCGGGTATCACCCAATTTCAAAAGGGAATTGTGATGCACCAATTTGTAACTTAACAGCTCCATGCATCGTTCGATTTAATATACAACCTCTACACATAAAATGAAATGGACATGAGACGAGTAAAAATGTATACCAACCTTTCTCTAACCGTAATAATAGACTGTTGACAACATCTCGCCTTGGCCCTAAGCTGTGGAACGACATAATTATTTCATATTTTCCAAGAATAACCGATATCTCTGCAACAAAAAACATCGTTAAGAACATCATCCACAAGCACTTTTTAAATACATATTAACGTAACCAACATATTTGAAGATATTGCGATTCTTTGACCTGCACGTATGTAACTCACTTCATATTTAGCCTCCTTCATGCTCCACAATCACGTTCTGATATAGTTATATTCATGCACTTGTACCCAAATTTACGGCGCTGGCGCCTGGAGTTCTCCCAGCAACAAGCTTCGCTTAGCTGGGTGGACTTCGCGGATATCCAGCTCAAGACCCAGCACGAAAATGGCAGTTAATTGTCCTGACTTGTGTAACCGTACAACTTTTACTAACATTGTGAATGAGTGGTTGTATCTTATTGGCTGGGTCTAACGGACTGTCACCAGCTGACTTGCTAATGACTACTTTAAGCTTTCTCATGTATGATTTGTCCTTGCCTATTGCATAACACAATGTCTACCGGGTCTGCATCACCTCTCCGCCTGCTTCTTTATGTTTGTTTCCTCTTCCTAGCTGGGAATGCCGCGACTTGATTCTATGTTTTCTGGTGTTAACGTACGATTTATTGCGTCGCTGGGATAGAGGGAGAGGCACTTCTGGTTACCTGTTCTTCTTCGGTGGCGGTATAGAAAAAAAAAAACGTTGTAAAGGGCTGATCGTACAGACGCCCAACAGTGTCAGACTACTGCTAGGCTTCATAAATCTCTGTAACCAGGATCGCATCCACTGGGGGAGGAGTGCGACCCCCCCCCCACACACACACTTCAGATGTGTTGACCCTGGAGATCTTCGGAGCTGGACGGAGCCCTGTTTGCCACCCCATATGACGTCATCCGACCCTTACGCCCGCAGGCCCATCTCTACCAACTGATGAAGTCGGACAGTTACTCGCGTTACCTTAGATCGGAAATGTACAAAGAGTACATGGCAGGTACCAAAAAGAAGGTAAGGAGGTTCGGAAACATGCGCCTCAGAGAAGTCGCCTCCACAGACATCTGCAAAATGGACATTCCCCACTGGCGCTTGTATATGTGAAGAACTGGATGCTTGTTGATTTTAGCCATACCGCGCAAAAGGCCGCTGTACGAATGCCCGTAATCTATGCTAGACTCAACAAAGACCAACGCAGTACACTTCTTGGAAACGATTGCAACAGTGGCCGACTTTCAGCGAATGAATTAGCTAACATGTCTAGCTGGTGTCTCGTGGTTTGTACAAAATTAGATGCAAGCACCTTCAGCGAATGTGATGCACATACGGCAGGTGGAGAAGCGCTTTTTAGAGCGCGTGAATAAGTTACACGATCTATACCCATGCTACTGACATCCGCTTGTAATTGAGCTGTTTGTCAGAGGCAGTGATAACCACCGTATTCATGTAAGACCATGGTGGAGTAATTGCGTTCCCTTCGATCCACGCCATATCGCTCCGTATTCAGCTGCTATATTCCCCCTCACAGTTATGCACATTTAATACTGATTTGTCGCACTGAAACTAAGTTGAACCACTGACGCTTGTCGGTTTAGTGACGACTGAGAAATCTCATTTTTAATAGGGTACTGCCCTTCTCCATCCAGCGTTGAAAAGGTCTGCTCACCACCTGGTGTCAATGCCGCAGATTTCGGTCCGAGGGATTCGCTCCATTGTCTCATTCACAACGAAGAAAGAGTCGTCATGATCGCGGCTGCGGCTGGTCTACCACAGGTGAGATACGGCTGATGCGGCTGCGTCGGCTCCCAAGGGCGCTCGCAGCCGCCAGGCGCCCGTCTTGGTAGATCAGCATTAGATACTTTATTTTCTTCCGCTGCTGGTTTCCAGCCTTATATTGCGGCAACTGTTCGATGCCAGCTTTGCCAACAGCATTACTGTCGAGAGCTGGCTCTGCATAGATCCCGGTTCTGCTGCAGTGCTGAGCCTGGTCCAGCCCGTCATGTCCTGGCTGTCAGTGATACTGTGCGTCGCCACTGCCTCTGGGTAGTCCTGCTCGCGCCGCTGGGACTGAGTAGCCTTGGATCCCGCCACTGGCTCTGGGTTGCCGCGTGTCCCAACACTCACTGCGTACTTTTGTGTCCCACTGCTGTGTCCATGTGGTTCTGAACCAAATCACTGTTTACGCTGTCATGCATCTGTAAACTTGTGCAAGTCCGCTAGTGAGTGGCTATTTTATGCCAATGCTGCGGAATAAAGCCAACCTTGACAAGGGGCACTGGTGCGAGCACAGACACATCACCGATTAAAGAACAGGAAAGACACAAACTTGAAATCCGATGGAACACGGCCTTACTCGTAAGCGTGATGTTAATGCAGTGCTGCAGTCCAATGTCGACGGTCGTGGGTGATCCCGTATCTGAGCACGATCTGAGGGTAGCATGCACCTCGCCGGTTTGTATGACCATGCATTCTTCTCCACCACCGCCCACGTGTAGCCCTGTATGTGTCCTTCACTACTGGTTGTGTGTATTCCTGAAGCCCACCAAGCCCAATGCCACACAGACACATCATCATCATGTGTCTGTGTGGTATTGTGTTTCACCACGGTCCATGTGCAGTCAGTCCTGTATTTCATCCTTTCTCTGTGCGGTCCTGTGCTCCAGCACGCTCCACGTGCAGTCAGTCCTGTATTTAATCCTATCTCTGTGCAGCCCTGTGCTCCACCACGGTTCCTGTGTAGTCCGTCCTGTATTTCATCCTGTCTCTGTGTGGTATTTCATCCTGTCTCTGTGCGGTCCTGTGCTCCGCTACGGTCCCTGTGTAGTCAGTCCTGTATTTCATCCTGTTTCTGTGCGGTCCTGTGCTCCGCTACGGTCCATGTGCAGTCAGTCCTGTATTTCATACTGTCTCTGTGCGGTCCCGTGCTCCGCTACGGTCCCTGTGTAGTCAGTCCTGTATTTCATCCTGTCTCTGTGCGGTCCTGTGTTCCACCACAGTCCATGTGCAGTCAGACCTGCATTTCATCCTGTCTTTGTGCGGTCCCGTGTTCCAACACGGTCCATGTGCAGTCAGTCCTGTATTTCATACTGTCTCTGTGCGGTCCCGTGCTCCGCTACGGTCCCTGCGTGGTCAGTCAGTCCTGTATCGCACCAGCCTCTGATAAGCTGAGCCGCACCGCCACCGCCAGCCCTCCCCCCCCCCCCCCCCCCCCAGCCGTCGGCCCCGCGGCCAGCACTCTCTCGTGCCTCCCTCGCCTTTGTGTGGTAATGGGATGTCCGGCCTATCAAGGCCATTTCCCGGGACGCCGCGGCGACGCATCCGGATAGTATCCCGGCCGACCGCGGGCATTGTCACGCGCCTGTCCGCGGCACACACACAGCGGGCGGCGACGACCGCCGACACGATTCCCCGCTCTGTCGGCAGTCCGCCGGGCGGCGCGGCCATCTGCGTCCGCGCCGCCGCCGCCCGCCGCACAGGGGTGCTGCACATTTGGGACCAGTGGGAGTGGACCGCGGCCTCCGCACCGGGCCGCCGCGTCTGGACGACAGAGGGCCCGCCGTGGCGAGGCCCGCCGCACTTGCGGACAGTGTCGGCACGCCGGCCGAGGGACAGCGCGCCGGCCGAGGGACAGCGCGCGTCCGGGCGGCGGGACGCTCCGGGCTGTGTCGGGACGGCGGCGGCGCGGCCCCGGCCGCCGGAAGAGGGGCGCGCCGCCGACAGTGCGAGTCTTGGGACCACGCCAGCGCTGTGGGCCAGCGAAGCCAGCGGAGCCCGAACCAGTCAGCAGTGCCGGCCGCCATTTTTAGAGCATATTTTTGGATAGGGTTGACGAATGTTTGTTTCGGGAGCCCGGAGCTCTCCTCGGCTCCTCTCCCTTGTTCGTTTGCGCCGTGATTGTAGGCGTTCTGAGGTTAGATCTGTGAGTCAGTCTTCAGCGGTGTTGTGAGGAGGTTGCCGCATTCTTGTACTGTCGAGTAGAGCGCAGTGAACCCACGAGCTTCACTGGCCGGCGCCGCTCTGTGCTGTGGTACATGCGACGGATCTGAAACCCGACGGCAACGGTGTCTGCGATCACGGAGGAGAGCCGTGCATCTTGTGTACTGCCCGCGGCGGCGGCGGCCGCCGCCACCAACCGCCGCGCATCCTATCGGGCTCGGCCTGCGCCCGCTTGTGACCTCGAGCCGGCGGCCGGCCGCCCCGCCTCCCGATCCTGTGTTTGTGCCCGCCGGCCGCACTGCCGGCCCGCACCAGTGGCCGGCGCGGCCAGCGGCCTCTGTCACCAACTAGTAGGTACAAATGCTGATCAATACCCGGCCGCCGCGACAGACCCGCGCCGGGCTACTGTTCCCCGTTATGCTCCGGGCCTGTTCCCTGGCCATCTTTGCCCCCCCCCCCCACCCCTCCTCTTTCCCGCCATCCCCGTGAAGAGTCACAAGGTCACTGACCAAAGTCGAGGTGAGCAAGTTCTCATGGGTGTCGACTGTTTTTGTCTCATGATTGTTGACGTTGCCGTAAATAAATAAATCGACGTCGTTTTGCGAGCTGGAGCAGTTTGGGGACGTTGCATCATCCCTGAGTCTGTGCTCACGACCCACAAGCCCGCCTCATTTCGGCAGCGACGAAAACGACTCAGTCTCGCAGCGATTCTATTGCACCACTTGCTCGCTACACCGCGCCATAAACATTTAGTGATTATGCCACTGCAGATAGCACAATGCAAACACGCAGCCGGAGGGCGGTTGGTTAATTGCTTTTTCCACGGGCGATCGGCTGCAATGGAAGCCTGGCCTATCGCCGAGCGACGACTCTTACCAACGCCACGCCCCTGATGGGGGGGGGGGGGGGTCTGTGGGGCTCGCCGCCTCCCTTCGCGCCGTTCACACTCACAGAGCGGCGGCCGCAAGCCTGGTGACTCCACCCCAGCACCAGACCACGGACGCCGGCGCGACCCCGGGTCACCGTCCGGCGGCGAGAGCTGAGCCGCCGACCCCGCACCGGTCAGCGGCCGAGCGCGCGCGCGCGCCGGCGGCCAGTCCCTCCGGAGCCGTCGTCAGGAGGGGCGGCGCTCGGTCACGCCTGTCAATAGCAGCGCCCGGCACCGGTCCCCCGGCAGCGCGGCGCGGCCGCCGCCGGCCGCAGCGGTCGGCAGGCCTGCCGATACTGCTGGACAGCCGGCGCGCGGCCGCCCGTCCAGAACCCGCCGACACGCGACGGCGCGGACAGTCCGGCCGCCGGGCGGTGTCCGGCCGCGCCGCTGTCCGCCCTGTCCGCCCCCGACGGCCGACGGAGCTACTGCCAGCCGGCACATCGATGTCAGAAAGAGCAGACTATCGCGGCCGGCCAAGGGCACGCGTCACGACGGACCGGCCGCCCGAGAAGTGCGGCGGGTAAATACCGGGCGCTGGCCCAGACGGGGCGGCACAACGTTGCAGCGTCGCTCCGGCGCGCGGCTGGCGCCGCGCCGCGGCGCGCCCACCTGTGTCAAGCGGCGCCTGGCGCAGACGAATCGACCCGCCCGGGGACCCGCCACAGCACAGGCGCACGGGCGTCGGGCATCCGGGCGAACGCACCGAGAGGTCGGCAGCTCTGGCGGCGGAAGACATAAGGCCGGCGCCGCGTGGCAGTTATGGCGGCACGGCGCGAGGCGAGGCAGCGGCGACTAGTCCTATCACGGAGCCCGCGCAGGCGGGGGCGGGAGGGGCGCTTCGCAGAGCGGCACCTACAGACCGCCAGGGTCGCACAGAGCTGGGCGGGAGACACAACCACCTAACGGGGCAGCGACAACCGCCACCGACATCTGACGGCCAGGAGCTGAACTAAGAAAAACAGTTCGTTGACAGAACAGCTTTCCACCCATACATCACACCAAGGTTCATAGACGGCATACCCAGAAGCGTTACAAAAGCCAGCGATGTCTAAAAAAGATGCAGAAAAAAGAACACAACCCGCCCAGATTGTCCACACTGCTGTCTGCTGGAGATTCCCGCACGTAAACATTGCACAGTACTCAAGCGTTAAGTACGTAATATCACATTGTGTTAGAGAGAGAGAGACCTGGGTGGCTCTAAGGGATACAGGGGGCGCTAGCGCACAAGGCGGAGCAGGGCACGACCAACCGCGTCCGCCAGCGCCCGGCGGCCTCCAGAGGGCCTCCCTCGCGTGCCACGAGATTCAGCACTAGCACGCGCTTTGGTTACATCGGCGGACAACAAAGGCACACACTGAAGAGGCCAAAACAACAGATCGAGAAGACAGGGCGACTTGCTGCGCCCGCGACTGCACCATAACCTGTGTGTTGTCAACCTGCAGAATCTCATGATTAAGTTGATATACGCACTGCAACCTTCGCAGCACTCAGAAAAAGTGACGGCCTACGACAGTACACATATAATAGTCGCAAAACACAAGCGTAGCAAAACAAACGTGCCCTGTGGTCCTGCGTTCTCAGCAAGCCACTAATAGGCAGGCGCCATCTGTCGGAACGCGCCAAGGTTGAAGTTCCCGAGTCCCACGCTTTGTGGCGCTAGTCGAAACCCTTTACCGGGTCATATTTCGCTGTCGTTTGTCATCCAACGTCTGCAGGTATTCCCTGTAACACGAAAATGCGGCATTACAGACCCACGCAACCAACGCGGCCGGCGTGTCTTTGAAGACGACTTTCCCGTCACCGCTTATATGTGTGCTGCAGCCGGGGCGCACCGACCGGCGGCTGGAGGCTGCAGGAAACATTACGTCACGCCCTCTCTCCCCACCCAACCCCCTTGCCTCCCCTCACTCCTATATAACATGAATGCAGGCAGCGTCATCATGTCAGCGGCCCGTCCCTCCCAATACAGCGGCCGGCCGGCCGGCCGCTCGCTCGCCGCCGGCGTATACTCACAGCTTCCATGGTGTGTACCGTGCTGCCCGGACAAGACCGTCTCCACGCGCACGTGGCCACTGCTTGTGCACCTTGACCTGGCAGCCGCGGCACTCGTACGCCTGCTTCCCCAGCCAGCGTGGTAGCGACTTCTCGCAGACCGAACAGAGGGCGCTGCGGCGAGGCAGCGGAGGGGGAGGTCAACGCCTTGGTCGCCGGGCACCATCAGCGGGCCGCGGCAGGCGACGGTCACCGACTCAGAGCCACACGTGGGACACGGGGACACACGAGCGGCAGGCGACGGTCACCGACTCAGAGTCACACGAGGGGCACAGGGGCGCACGAGCGGCAGGCGACGGTCGCCGGCTCAGAGGCACACGCGGAACACGAGGGCACACGAGCGGCAGGCGACGGTCGCCGGCTCAGAGGCGCACGCGGAGCACGGCGGCACACGAGCGGCAGGCGACAGTCGCCGGCTCAGAGGCACACGAGCGGCAGGTGACGGTCGCCGACTCAGAGGCAAACGCGGGACACGGCGGCACACGAGCGGCAGGTGACGGTCGCCGGCTCAGAGGCACACGAGCGGCAGGTGACGGTCGCCGACTCAGAGGCACACGCGGGACACGGCGGCACACGAGCGGCAGGTGACGGTCGCCGGCTCAGAGGCCACGAGCGGCAGGTGACGGTCGCCGACTCAGAGGCACACGCGGGACACGGCGGCACACGAGCGGTAGACGACGGTCACTGGCTCAGAGGCACACGAGCGGCAGGCGACGGTCACCGGCTCAGAGGCACACGAGCGGCAGGTGACGGTCGCCGACTCAGAGGCACACGCGGGACACGGCGGCACACGAGCGGCAGGTGACGGTCGCCGATTCAGAGGCACACGCGGGACACGGCGGCACACGAGCGGCAGGCGACGGTCATCTGCTCAGAGGCACACGTGGGACACGGGGACACACGAGCGGCAGGCGACGGTCACCGGCTCAGAGACACACGCGGGACGCGGGGGCACACGAGCGGCAGGCGACGGTCGCCGGCTCAGAGGCACACGCGGAGCACGGAGGCCAAGCGACAGGCGACGGTCACCGGCTCAGAGACAAACGCGGAACACGGGGGCACACGAGCGGCAGGCGACAGTCACCGGCTCAGAGACACATGCGGAGCACAGGGGCGCACGAGCGGCAGGCGATGGTCACCGGCTCAGAGACACATGCGGAGCACAGGGGCGCACGAGCGGCAGGCGACGGTCACCGGCTCAGAGACACATGCGGAGCACGGGGCACACGAGCGGCAGGCGACGGTCGCCGGCTCAGAGGCACACGAGAGGCAGGCGACGGTCACCGGCTCAGAGACACATGCGGAGCACGGGGGCACACGAGCGGCACGGCCGCAGGCGGATAACGCGCACAACAAGCGTCGCTCAGGCCAACACCCCAGCGGGAGCGTCATCGGAGCAGAGCACAGCAGGGAGACCCTCACCTGGGCAGATGCTTCGCCACGAACGTGCTCGTTGTAAATGTGCAGCTTGGAGCCCTTCTTCCTCCACTTGGACCTCTTGGCCATGTTGTTGGGTACTAAGTAGTGTCTACGGAGAGAGCGGAAGACGACGACTTAACGGCTGTTTGAACGGCAGTGCGCCAACAG